GAAATGAGATGAAATGAAAAAAAAATCTATTTTATGATTATGCACATACACACCACATACACCAAACAAAAACCACCCCAAACTTTTCAAATTGTTTGTTTGAAAAGCATCGGTAAATTCTGTCCAGTTGACTGCCCACGGTCATTTTAACCTCACACTATTTTTAAACTTTCAGCTGTATGTAGAAGATGAGATTCAGAACTTTCAGCTAGAAAACATTGCTTGGATTTTAAGGGTTGCAGGTGTGGCTTTGGGTTTTAAAGAACTATTCTTCCGACCATGGTTTTCATCAAAGTCCCTCTCTACGTTTTTGTAAACATGTTTAATAAGAAAAAATTTAAATAGCAAAAACAATATAAAAGATTGCTCTAAATATGGAAACACTGGGATGACTGTTATGTTTTAAAGGCTCTTGCTTACGAAAACACGAATTAAAAAGTCCACACTGTGTATTTTAGGGTAGGGTAGCACTTCTTTACTGCTTTCTAAAAAAAACACACTTGTTTTTTCACTATCTTTTAGCACTAAGAATGGAAGAAGATAGGTTTTCTTTTGGTTTTACATTGGTTTGATACAACCATAATCTTCGTTTTTGAAAGTGATTTGAAAACAAGAAAGGGACCCAGATCTGAGCTTCCTGAGAGCTTAGTCCCTTCTCTTACTGGCTATGCAACTGGGGCACGTCACTGGGCTTCTGTGGCTCTTCTGCAACACGGAGCCCGGCCACCTACCACACAGCCTTCATTCACGTCCAGCCATCTCCCGGGGCATCAGAACATAGTGCTCTGTACAAGTTGGCTATTGTCCCTAAGAGTCGCACCCTCCAATAATCATATTTACAAGAGGGGAGCTGTTCTCACATTGGGAATAAAATGGCCAATTATACTTTAACCGGTGTTTATTTTTAAATGTCCAAAGCATGTAACTAAGGAACAAATAGAGGAATTTTCCACCTGAAGTCCTTGTTTACCAAATATCTATCCCTGGGCAATTACAGGTTTGTCTGTTTGTTTGTTTGTTTGTTTGTTTGTTTGTTTGTTTGTTTTGAGAGAGAGAGAGAGCAAGCAGGGGAGCAGAGAGAGGGGGAGAGACAGAGAATCCCAAGCAGGCTCTGCACTGTCAGTATGGAGCCCTCTGTAACCTCAAACTCACTAATTGTGAGATGATGACCTGAGCTGAAACCCAGAGTCAGACACTTAACTTACTCAGCCACCCAAGAGCCCATCTTTTTTTTTTTTTTTTTTTTTAATGTTTATTTTTGAGAGAAAGGTTGAGAGTAGGGAGGGGCAGAGAGAGAGAGGGAACACAAGGTCTGAAGCGGGCTCTGTGCTGACAGCAGACTGGACTCATGGACCACGAGATACGACCTGAGCCAAAGTTGGAAGCTCAACCAACTGAGCCACCCAGGTGCCCCTATCTTTTTTTTAAAGAGAGGTGAGGCAAGAGAAAAAAGAGGAATGCCCTCAAAGAAAGGCAGTTTGGTGTAAGTTTTCTGAATAAAAAGAAGAATGGCCGCCCTGAACCGTGATTGTTTTCCTGTGGCCACCAAAGCCACAGATTAGGTATCCATGAAACTCCCACTTCTTTTTTTTTTTTTTTCAAGTTTATTTATTTATTTTGAGAGAGAAACAGAGCGTGCACCCACGAGCAAGTGGGGGAGGGGCAGAGAGAGGGGGAGAGAGAGAGAATCCCAAGGAGGCTCCGCTCTGTCAGCACAGAGCCAGCCACGGGGCTCGAACCCACACACCACAAGATTATCACCTGAGCTGAGATCAAGAGTCGAAAGCTTAACCGACTAAGCCACCCACCTGCCCCGAAACTCCCATTTCTATGACCTGATTCTTCCTCATGAATCCTTTCTTAGTTACAAGAAGAGACAAAATGTCCTTCTCAGTTCTCCCCCTTGGACTTTCCAATAAAGAACATTTATTTTAAAAACAAAAAAGCAACATGGGGAACGATGGCCAAATCCACGGCCATTACACTTTTTCCTTAAGGTAGAACTTTTTTCAGGCAGCAGTGTGCTTAGCCTTGGGGGCTGATCTATGATTGGTCTAAGCCAGTCATGACTATCCCATTTTCTCTTTGCCACTCATTCATCCAAGGCAATGCTTCTCAACCCAGTCAAGTTTACATACACACACTCATATCCCCATAGGACATTGGCAGTTCCTGGAGACATTTTCGGGTCGTCATACCTGGAAATACGTTACCGGCATCTAGTGGGTAGAGGTCAGGGATGCTGATAAGCATCCTTCAATGCCCAGGATGGCCCCCTGACAAGAGAGAATTAATCTGGCCCAAAATGTTGATAGGGCTGAGCTTGAGAAACACTGGTCTAGGAGTTGACAGATGGCACAGTTCTGTTAATGAAATGTGACTGGAAGTAGGGCAACGTCTAGGAAATAATTTTCCTGCAGGAAAGGAGGGAATTGTTTTGCCCCCTTCACCTTCTTTTCTCTTTGGAATGAGGGGGTGTGGGGATGTGATGCTTGGAACTGCTGCAACTATCTTGGGACCATGAGGAGAGATATCACCAACATGCTGAGGATCTTTGAGCCACTGTCTCCAGACTTCTTATTGTATGAGAAAATGCTTAATTGCCTCTGTTTTAAAACTACTATTACGGGCGCCTGGGTGGCGCAGTCGGTTAAGCGTCCAACTTCAGCCAGGTCACGATCTCGCGGTCTGTGAGTTCGAGCCCCGCGTCAGGCTCTGGGCTGATGGCTCGGAGCCTGGAGCCTGTTTCCGATGCTGTGTCTCCCTCTCTCTCTGCCCCTCCCCCGTTCATGCTCTGTTTCTCTCTGTCCCAAAAATAAATAAAAAACGTTGAAAAAAAAATTAAAAAAAAAAAAAACTACTATTAGTTGGCATTTTTGTTCCTTGTAATCAAAAACATCATAGTTATTACACCTACAATGACATATAATTTTTCCCTGAAAGGTCCACGTTAGGTTAACTAGAAAGCAGCAAAACTTTTCTAGGTTTCAGACATGGCTCAGTGAACTGGGCTCAGTCCCTAGCTAAATGTCTCGCTTGTTGCACAAAGCCCCTCTTAGCAAAAGAATGTCGTGGCATGCCGCTGAAGAATGACACATGACTCCATGCTGTGTATCTTCAGACTAACTCGTGGAGACCAAAAATTGCGAAGCCGTCCTGTCCTAGTTTAAATTCAAGCTCTGCCACCGAGTCGATGTGTGATCCTGGGTTAGTTTACTTCTCTGTTTCTTTGTCTGTAAAATGGGGATGAGAGTCCTCAGAGGCTAAATGAGCTGTCACATGTAAAAATTGCTTAGAACGGTGGCTGGCACCTTTAAGCCCTGTGTTCACATCCTTGTTATTAAGTGTGACATCTGAGAATACCAAGGGTCTGCTCAACCATTTTCACATCCGCAGCTCACCTGATTGCGTGACTAGTCTTCAAAGTTGAAGCTGACAGCCGACTGGGCATTAACTGCGAGCTACTGATAGGGGAGTAGATTAGCCACACTCTGTCCCGTCTTGCTGAATTCCACCCCAGGTGGCTTGTGCAGAACACCCCCCCCCCCCCGGGACAACCGTAGCATGATGCTAGGAGATCCATTGCGGGTATATCACCTGCTGGCAGAAGTGCTCATTGTAAGAGACGTGTGTCCTTGTCTTGCGGTATTAATAACCCCCTCGCTCTGTAAGGTGTGGACTCAGATGGTTCATCTAGTACTTCCACGCTTCTGGTTCGTAATCGTTCTTTTTTAAAAAATTTTTTTTCAACGTTTTTATTTATTTTTGGGACAGAGAGAGACAGAGCATGAACGGGAGAGGGTCAGAGAGAGAGGGAGACTCAGAATCGGAAACAGGCTCCAGGCTCCGAGCCATCAGCCCAGAGCCTGACGCGGGGCTCGAACTCACGGACCGCGAGATCGTGACCTGGCTGAAGTCGGACGCTTAACCGACTGCGCCACCCAGGCGCCCCGTCGTAATCGTTCTTAATTCAGTCAAGCCAATACCGGGACACCATTACGTTTTGCTTCCACGTATGCCTGGACAGAGTGACCTTCCGCAGAGCCTTGCTGCCTTCCTCTCTGCCGTGAAAACCTCGTCTGGTGTCCAAACGTCTGCATAATGGGACTTGGGCACGAAGCAGGCTGGAATTTGAACTGAGCCCTGTGGCTAAGTCTCCGGGTGACCTCAAGCAGGCTACTTTACCTCGCTATATTTCATCATCCTTCAAAGGGGGCTGGGGCGCCTGGGTGACTCAGTTAAGTGTCTGACCCTTGATTTCGACTCAGGTCATGATCTCACGGTTTGCGGGCACAGAGAGCCTGCTGGGGATTCTCTCTCTCCCTCGCTCCCGGCCCCGGCCCCGCCCCCGCCCCCGCTCGCACACAGTCTCTCTTTCTCTCTCTCAAAATAAATGGGTGAACTTAAAAGTATGGGGCTCATGAGGCCCCCTTTTACAGAAATGCTGTGCGTAAGCTACCAGTAAAAGTCTCTAGCGTGGCTCATGAGCTAACGCAGGTGCTTGATAAATGGTTGCCAGTGGTAGTAATTCCATTTGGTTCTCTCCAATCAAATACTTAGTAACCAAATCAGTCTTGTAGCATATTTGAGGACGCGTTGCAAGTTGATTGCACTGAACTGTGCTGGACCTCAGCCACACGTGAGGCTCCCTTTTCATAAATACTTGAGTAACTTTAGCCCAAGAAGGCAAAGAAACAGCAATAGAAGCCAGGAGGAGTTCGCCAAGAATCCACATGAACTGTGTGTTCGAAGTGGTGCTCCTACAGTCCTAGAGCGTAAATCTTAACCTCTGCAGGTCTGTTCTTTTTTGTAGACTCCAAGCCCTACAGCTTGACAACCACTTGAACCGGTTGCCGGGTCTCCCTAGGCACAAGTAGTTCTGGGCGCACTGAGGCTTCCTGCCTTGTGTAAATGTTCCAGAGCGTGGCACCAACATGTCTATTTTCAGCCTTCCTGGAAGGAACCAGACCCTGTCTTCATCTGCCCCTTCTGTGCCCTAGGCTAACCGGTTACTTACGTGCCCTAACCTTGAGACAAAAGCGTCAGCACGGGACATGATGCTCAAATTATTCCTTTACATCCTGTGGTCCTTCCAGTGATGCTCCAAGTAAGTGGTGTTTGTAGCCCCGAGGAGCCCACAGGGTGACTTGGATGGTACACAGATCATCTTTTTGCACAGGGTCCATGCAAATCTTCTCTGTGTCATTCCAGTTTTAGTATACGTGATGCTGACGTGAGCACGATAATCTTTTGGATGTAGAGTTTCTTTTAAACTAAATTTTGACTGTTTAAAGTGAAACACTAATCAGAGGATTGCAAATGGATTTTTTTTTTTATGGTGAGTTCATTTTAAGTACAATGTCATTTTAAGAACCTTCTTCGTAGCTAGAAGAGCTATGTAATTTATTCAGTTATTATATCGGAGCTACCTTAACCTCCGTGCTCCTCTGCTCTATTGATATATTCGCTTTAAGTTCTTAATTGTTGAAATGAGGTTCCAAAGCAACAGAATTAGGACTCGGGAGATCTGGCATTGGCCCAGGAATCTCTGTATTTACTCCAGCCAATGCTGACGCGGGTTTCTGGAGACTATCTCTTAGATCCTCAAAGTTGGATGATGTCTGCAACCACCTCCAGCTGGACAGGGTGGCAACAAATGTCACTTACTGAGCAAAAAGTGTGCTGGACACTGAATGAGGCACGTCTATTGGTAATTGTATCCAATCCTCTCTCCCAATAGCGTTATTTTCCCCATTTCTCCAGAGATGGGGAAACTGAGGCTGACTCTTGCACAAAGTCCTGGATCTTCATGTGGCTGGGTTAAGATTCAAGCCCAGATCTGTGTATCTCCAAAGCCCATGCTGTTAATTTCCATAACGTAATCCTTGGAAAATGTGGCTAACAATTCCTGTTCTTCTTTCCTCTTACGGTCCTTCTGAAGATCAAATATAATAACGTATGTTAAAGTAAAGTCATTTGTGGTGTGTACAGTGCCATGTTTAATCATTCAATCGGTAATTAGTCTGATCGTGTAATTTCTCTATCTAAAATCTTCCAAAGGCTTTTGACTCACTCAGAGTTAAAGCCAGAATCCTCGCAGCCAATGATCCAGCAGCCCCATCACCTGTTGGATCTCACTTCTTTCTACCTTCCTCTCATTCATTCTTTACCAACCACTCTAACCTCTTTGACATCCTCAAACACACAAGGCACACTCCTGCCACAGGGCCTTTGCATCTGCTGTTCCCTCTACCTAGAAGGCTTTTCCCTCACATATCCACATGGCTTACTCTTTGTCCTTGGGTCTTGCTCAAATTTTCAGTAAGACCTTCCTCAACCTCCCCAAGTAAAACTGCAACATTTCTCAAGCCTCCAACCCTCTATTCTTTTCTGATTTATTTTTTCGAACTTCCCACCGTGGAACATACTGTATCTCTGATGAATTGGCTGATCTCCCATCATTTAGACTCTAAGCTCCTTGAGGTGGGAGACTTCTATTTGTCTCAACTACTTAAGAATGGTACCTAACCTAAAGTAAGTACTCCATAAATAGATGCTGAATGAATGAATGAAGTTAGTGAGTATTCTTATCTGCCAGGCATGGTGTCAAGTGCTGGGGATTCAAAGATGAAGCTCATATACGCAGTCTGGACCTTCCTGTAGCTTATTAGAAGATTCCTTTTTGGTGTCCCTTTGACATCCAATTTATTTCTGGATTCTTAAATGCAAGAGCACAAATTGTAAATAAATGTGACCTGAATAAATCTCTCAGCTTCAGCATTCCCACACTGACAAAAACAAAGCTCGAGAGTGCAGCTCCCAAAATGTCTACAATGCTGGTCCTTCCCTGTCCCTACCTCAGTCAGAGAACCTCCCCTTTTTTCCTTCCAGGAAAGCCCCAGAGCCTCTTGGCCTCCACCCAATCTCCTTCCCCAGGGAAGCCAGGATTCGGCTGGATTTCAGCGGCGGTGAACGCTTGACTTTTTCCCCGGGGATATGGTTTCTTAGTCACCCTATAAACTTTTAATTTTATTTAGCCATATTTTATAAGCTGGCACATTATCAGAGCTGTCTCTCTCTATGCCCTCAAGTGCCTCTGAATGTACCCATAACGCCTCTTAATTTTATGTCGCTTTTTGCATCCAGTAAAATGTAGAAATACACAGGAGAAGCTGGGAAATGCACATGCTGGGTGGGTTAGCCAAGAGTGCCTGCAGAAGCCCCTTGGAGGAATAAATCTGTGCTCTTCCACGTGCAATGTATTTCTCGAAAGGGAAGTCATGTAATGACCCGCTCTGGTCATGCCTGGGGACTCCCATCTGTTAGTGTGGGGTGCAGCCTTGGAATTAGCATGTTAGGTTTTCATTGAGGTGGTAATGTACAGAAAAGCATAAATGATGTTCAGCTCAGTGAATTGTCACATGTCCATGCAACCAGAAATACTGCCAGCACCCCAGAAGTGCCTGGTGTCCCCTTTTGTCCCTGCCTCTCTCCAACAGTTATCCTGATAGTATCCTTATACCCCATACATTGGGTTCTGCCGATTTCTGTATTTACATAAATGGAAACACACTCCGCATATTCTTGGGTGTCCAGCTTCCTTTGTTCAACATTACATTTGTGAGATCCATCCACGTTCTTGCACACAGTTGCAGTTAATTCATTTTCATTGCCGTACAGATTTTTGTTGTGAATGATTATTTTGTATTTATTCTGACACTGACGGACAATTGGATAGACGTCTGTCGCCAGCTATTATGAATTGAGCTGCTGTGGACATTCTTGTACATGTCTTTTGATGGATATATGTACACATTTCTCCTGGGCATATACCTTGGAAAGAATTGATAAGGCAAATCAGCATTTTTAACAAGCAGCTCAGGCAGTTGCTGACTCATGCTGAAATTTAATGCGTGTTGTACGGAAACCAATTTGACAATAAATTTCATATTAAAAAAAAAGAAAAAAGAAAAAGAAAGAAATATTCACCACACACACAAAAAAAAGAGAGAGCCATATGAAGAACTAACAAGCGAGTACTATTTACCGAGATGATTAACCCAGTTTGAATGATACTTCAGTACAGGAGATGTGAACTGCCCACAAGAACATTACAATATTATTGAGGAGGGGTGAGAAAAAAACACCTTAGACTCACAGAGCACATAGTGAAGAAAACACTGAAGCGAAAATAACTGAGGGACCCAATCCAGATGTCTGTTCTAGTTTAACGCAACATACACAAACATAGCACAGAGCTGTAAATTGGCTTTCTATAAGAAAGGCTCTGGGTTGTATTTGGCAAATGCAATGTTTCAAAACTCAAGAAATATCATAAAAGTCTTTATTTCTTTTTTTTTAGTGTTTGTTTATATGAGAGAGAGAGAGAGGCAGAGTGTGAGCCAGAGAGGGTCAGAGAGAGAGGGAGATACAGAATCTGAAGCAGGCTCCAGGCTCCAGGCTGTAAGCTGTCAGCACAGAGCCCGATGTGGGTCTCGAACTCACAGACCGTGAGATCATGACCTGAGCCGAAATTGGACACTTAATTGACTGAGCAACTAGGTGCTCCAGTTTCTTTTTTTTAATGTTTATTTATTTTGAGAGAGAGAGAGAGTGTGTGTGTGTGTGTGTGTGCGTGCGTGCACGCGCGCGCGCACACACACACACACACACACACACACACACACACACACACACAAATGGGGGAGGGGCAGAGTGAGAGATGGAGAGAGAGAATCCCAAGCAAGTTCGCTCATTGTCAGTACAGAGCTGACTGGGGGCTCAATCTCATGAACCATGAGCTCATTACTTGAGCTGAAATCAGGAGTCTCATGCTTAACTGATTGAGTGACCCAGATGCCGCAAAGAGTCTTTATTTCTGATTTCTCTTTGAAAATTAAATCCCAGGGTCTCCTGGGTGGCTCAGTCGGTTAAGCATCTGACTTCGGCTCAGGTCACGATCCCCCGGTTCGTGGGTTTGAACCCCTAGTCGTATTTTGTGTCTCCCTCTCTCTCTCTGCCCCTCCCCTACTTGCATTCTGTCTCTCTGTCAAAAATAAACATCATAAAAAACTTTTTTGAAAATTAAACTCCAGCAGTACTGGGTCCTCATTCCTGCATAGACATAATTGGACACAGCTGAGCAACGCCTGTCAATTTAGACGGAACCTGTCCCAAGCACAGTAGTCCCCACCAACCCCTACTGCCTCATTCTGGCCTCCTCCCCTCCTTTACATTAGCTGCCTGACTCCTTTAGGCATTGGGCTTCCCAAACTGCTATGGAAAATTACAACAAACATTTTCCCATAGAATATCTGTGTTAATCCTCTCCAGAACCCTACAAGCCATCATGCCCATTTGGGCAGTGGGAACTGAGCAACTTGAGGCTCCAAGAGGGATTTAACAAAATTGCGTCACTAGTAAGTGGTAGCCTTCTGTTTCCTACCCCAGGGACCGTTTCGAGTAGTCTTTAAAACATTGTGTGTCTGCTTTTTTACGTTAAGTGGTAACAAATAAATCAAGATATGTATGATAAGATGCTTATGATAGGGGCACCCGGGTGGGTCAGTCGGTTGAGTGTCTGACTTCGGCTCAGGTCACGATCTCACGGTTCGTGGGTTCGAGCCCCATGTCGGGCTCTGTGCTGACAACTCAGAGCCTGGAGCCTGCTTCGGATTCTGTGTCTCCCTCTCTCTCTGCCCCTCCCCTGCTGGCTTTCTCTCTCTCTCTCTCTCTTAAAAATGAATAAACATTAAAAGTAAAATTTTTAAGATGCTTCTAATAAAGCTCAGAAAACAATTTTAAGGCATCAGCAGAGGGAAAAGGTTGTATAGAATGAACTGGTCGTAGACATGTTTCTCCTGAGAACGTGAGATCTCCGATCCTTGGTGGATGACTGAGAAAAGGGGGAGGGACTGCTTTCTGAGCCAGGGCTGAGCTGGAGCAAAGCCAAGGAGTCAGAAATAGGCCGAGGGGGTTGAGGTGGGATTGGACAAGAGTGAGCCCCAGAGGCATCGTGGGAAATGAGGCTCCTTACCCTGCTGGCTGTGGCCGCGTTGCCTGGGGCCAAGGTCTTCACCTTGCTGAGGGTGCGGTCCCATT